CAAAAAATAGCAGATGTTTAGGCACCATCTCCTATTGTTATACTAAAACCTGCTAATAATTATACCTGAACTCCCTCAAAGAGTCATCAAAAAATGAAAACAGTAACAGCAACTTAATATCAGCAGATCAGAAAAAGGAAACCCTCAAATTTTTCTTTTTAGTTGGCTGTGGCTAAGAATCAGAAATGTTGATAGCTTACAGCCTTTATTCGTCCATTTTTCCAGCAGTCTTCAGAACTCCTGGCTTAGTTTTATACAAGGAAAAAAAAGCTTGTTTGTTTTTTAGCGTACATGATATTCAGTTTTTTAATTGGGACTAGTTTCGTAGCCTAATATTAATTGTAGTAACCGCTGTATTCTAGCATGAAATAAATGTTAAATTTTGTGCTCCAAGCACACACACATGCACACGGACTGGAAAACAGCCAATCAGGAAGAGAGAAGGCGGAACTTAAGGCAGAACAACCAGTAGCTGCTCAGCGAACCACAGTCACGTGTGCTGCTACGTTAAAGGGACAGTAGAGACAGGCAGGCACTCAGACGGAGCTGCAGCTGTACGGAGAGATATTTGTGCCTTCAGTTTGAGCGTGCAGTCAGCGAAGCTGCTAGAGGAAAGAAAGCCACTGCTGCAGCAAAGCTGTATAGTAAATTATAAACATGTTGTTGACATCAAATTATTGGTAGGAACAATTAGGTCGGTTCAAAATTTTGGTAGGGACATGTCCCTATGGTCCCTATGCAAACCTACGCCCATGGGCTAGGGCTACTCTCACAACAGCTCGAATAATCTGGCACTGATTGAAGGCATTTTCATTTTTAATTATTTAAGATATTTTCACTGCCCCTAAATTGGGACTGTTGTGCTGAGACTGGACAGCCCCCAGCTTTCCAGACACTATCATTTGTCAGACATGCATTCAGAGTACATGTTAAGAAATAATGTTTTGTTTTTTGCTTTTTTTTACTTTGTGAGCTGGGCTGTGATTATATGTCCTGCCATCCAAATGATTGTGGGATTGCTTGCTCACCTCTGTCCGATAGAGCAACACTGTTGTTATGTTAATGAGAACAGTTTCAAATTCTCTGTGACCTCTCTGAACTTGTTGGACTTAGACTTCCTGTTGTACCAGAACACCTCATCTGGTTTGTTTCCTCTGTGGTCTCACCACTAATAATCTGTCTTTTTACCATCGGCAATATCTTGATCAGATAATAACCATATAGCAACCAACCAGTTGCAGCCCTGACTTTTCCATTGGAGCCTAACTTTTTTGATTGACTTGTTGATACTCTGTCTATACTTGTTAACCCGCCTTTTTAGACCACCTCAAATCTCTTGGCTCAAAAACCTATATATAGGTCACAGGTTAAGATCTTGCTTTTGAAAAGATTTGTAAGTGACCACCAGCATATATTATTTCTGTGTCCTGTCCACTGTATATTCTGTATTGCGAGGTAAGTATAAGACCTTGAAATATGTTTATACAGTGTGAAAGTTATATAATACCAGCATTAACCTTTTTTGACTTGAGTACCCCTTTGGTTGTTATGTCTTACCATGAGTACCCCTCTCAGTCTAAAGTACTGATTATTGTCCAAAAGTGGAATGTACAATAACTGATTATAAAATAAAGACAATTTTACTTAATCTTTTAATTTGAGCGTTTAATTCTTATCAATGTATTCTTTCCATCTCAAATAAAAAAAACAACATGAAGTTAGTAAGGAATCAAAATAAATAGAAATTGGCTTAGTGGCTT